TAATATATATATATATATATATATATATATATATATATATATATATATATACTTATGATTCATTTGCAAATTATAATGTATATCACAATTGACTTGGCACTGTCAATACAATTTAAAAAATTCAAAAGCTGAGAGAGGCAAAACAAAGCAGCTGACTTCGTTACTGATCAAACGAACAGTGTTTTTTAAGAACAAGCTTCGCCTTAATTCTATTCTTCATCTTTCTACTTCAAGAATCTCGATATTAGAGATACCAGATCTCAAATTGTATCGATATAACTCGAGTTAAAGACACGCTACAAAGTATCGTCTCCTTGTGTGAAATTCATTTCAAAAGAGAACGCTCGAATGGGTTTAAACGTTCATCTTTCTATCGATATTTTCACAATTGTCGATGGTAAGAGGCATAAAGCTCCCGAAACATAAGAATCCAGGAAGCGCGCGACGATAAATTACACGACTCCTGACCGTCCTTCCTGAAATCGTTAAACCGGAGAGCCGTGTGGTCGTAAATTATTGGACATGGTTGTTCTCGGACAGGAAAGCCGGTCGATAATATTCGAACTTGGAATTGACGAACGGCCAATTCATTACATCAGAGGTAACGAATTTGTCCCGTTTCCGGAAGTATCCTCCGTGAAAACAGAAGAATTGAAATCGTTGGAAGATTTCGTTGGAAGAATGCGAATTTTTTACTGTTTAAATTAATCGATTTAATTGATTATCACGTGTTGCAATAATTTTCGTTTCCCTTTTTTGAATCTTTTTGCACAATTAATGTTGATTTTAATTAAAGAGATTTTATGAGTTGGGCATTAATCTTTTTTATATAAACGGGTAACGAGTTTAATAATAAAATAAATGCGATTTGGAAAAATTATAAAAATTTATTTGTCAATATTGAATTATTGTATAAGAGAACTTGATTCTTTGATGGAAAAAAATCGATGAAGAAATTGTGAATTTATGGAGAATTTATCTCTGCTGAATCATTTCGTATTTTTCTCGATCATTATTCTCAAAATACAGAATTTTATATAATTTTCATAAACTTTATATGTTTATAGATTCCAAACTATTTATTAAAAATTGTAAAGAGATAACAAATTTAATTTTTCATCGGATTAATTTGCAATAATAAAATAAATTTTACACAAAAAATTTATGCAATCGATATTTCTGTTAAAATACAGCATTTTTCCCCCACACGTTGAATGAAATTCTGTTGCACACGCGTAATCGTCCACAGCAATGTTTCCTTTGTTCTTTCTTATTCGTCTGGTAATGAAGTAACTAAAAATAATCAAAAACATCGTTCCTGTTTGTTTCTTCTTCATCGTGAAATCCATCAAAAATTTCGTTTCTTTTGATGTCATATTGTTTGATTAAAAAACATATTAATTATAACCATAATACAGTTCTTTACATCGCGCAAAATAACGTTGAAAGAAGACTATATATATATATATGTATATTTGTAAAAATTTTTGAATCAAGTTTGATAAATTTTTTACTTCAACGCCATTGTATATATTGTATAAATTTCATTAGATAAAAACAATATGAAAATTTTTTGGAAATATCATACGTATATTGCAACTTTAATTAAAATTATCCACTCATACTTTCATTTTCATTAAATAAAAATAATCAGAATTTAAGATAATACACGGAAGAATATAATTGATAATAAATTTAGTTTGAAAAATAAAATTTTATTCCAAAAATATTATTCGTTAATTCCCTAATATAACAAATAAAAGAATGCCACGATGATATTTCATCTCGACAATATTATTTCTCAATTCTCTATCATAATAAATAAGTAAAATTTTCTTCGACAAAATTATATTTCGACAAATTTACTCGTTGATCTTCGAATTTATTTTACGTAATTTTTGAAAGTGTGGCATGTGTATTTGATAAAAAATACAAATTCCATATCTGTTTTCTTTTTTCTTTTCCTATATCTTGTTATAACACACGAGAACATCACTTTTTTTATCTTCCTCGTTGCATAATGCATGTCATTCTTTCTTTTCCACAAGTTCAAGTTTTTATTTAATTTCATCTAGTCCCTCTCGTTGTCGAGTTGAGAACTATCTTAAGCATAACACCGTGTTCATAAGAAGTGGAATGAAATAATCCGTATCACTGTTTCAAAAAGACTTATCCTTTCTTTTTCCGTATTTATTCACGCGGATGATTCTCCCTCCTCGTCTCTGTTGTTTGAACAATGTTATATCAATCGATGGTGAATAATGTTTGACATGGCGATAATCATTGACAATGAGACGAGTATCAATCAATAACTCTAAGACAAAAGGGGCGTTTTTAAAACAATAATCATTATTTCTTTAAAAGAGTAATATTTCTTTAAATCAACTCTTTTATCAGCTCAACGCGATACACGTAATATTTTAAATAATCAAAAATATATTTTCTTTTAGATAAACTTTCTCCTAATAGAAAAAAAATTAGTTCTAAAAAAAGTAACAGAAACAAATCTTATAAGAAAATTCCAATATACTTTTTGGGAATGTTTTAATACTTGATTAATTTGTTATATTCATTTTTCGAATCCAAATTCGATTAAATAAAATCAGAAATATAATTAAGCATTGGAAGCGTTAAAAGCTAATGAAAACTTTGAACTTCGTATTATTAATTTTCACAACGCTTTATACATTAGTGTGATGATTATGCAAAATTTAAGCAGCCGTTATGGAGATGATTGTAACCAGTTTATTTCACGATTAAATTTTATCGAGCGTGACGATGTTCTCGCGAAAAAATATAATTTCAAAGCGTGTAAATTTGATTGCAGGGAAAGTGTACCTGGGCGGGAACCACTGGACGACGTGTCACCCTGCAGGATACACCGTTGAGGTCGTTGTCAGAAATCGAGAGAAAAGTGTTGTGCAAGGTGGCTGTTGCAAAACTTCAGGCCCTTAATTTGGGTGTTCACATTAGGCCACCTAGCGGTAAGTTTTTCGAAGTAATTTGATGTTTTAATGAAAATATGAAATGCGACAAATTTGAGATTTAAGAAGTTTTGAAAATTAAAGCATGGAAATTTAGAAATTAGAATGTTTGTTATTTAAAGATTTTTTTTTATATTTTGCAATATTTTGCACTGAATGGCGTAATAGAAGAAAAGTAAAGAAGTTTGAACATTTTCTTTTCGTTTTTTTCCTCGAGAAAAAATTTGTATCTCAACTCGATACAGAGAGCAAAATCTTGACTGTCTCTCAGATGATTGACATATTTACGAACATAAAGTGTAACTCCAATATCGAAGTATTCTCTTTCTCAAGGAATCAAGAATATTCTCTAAAATCATTAAATGCTCTTAAGGAATCTTTAACTGTGGATTTCTCATACATAGTCATGAACATTCTAAAATTACCATTTCGCCTTAATAGGTTAAAAACGATATGAAATATTCATCGTTGCCACGAATCTATTACGATCTTAATTTGACTGCATCGCAATTAGTATTTAGTTAATGCTATTTCTAATTTTTTGATAACTAAGTTTAACCTTTTAACACAGGTAAAAAAATTAATTCTCTTAAAAATCTTAAAAAAAAGATGTCGCATCGCAGATTTTATAAATCCACAAATAATGATATATCACGTTTCATAATTCTCAAAGGGCTAATATAAAAGAAAAAAAAACTTATTGATTCTAAATGTCACATATATACACGTCATCCAAGAACTACTACTCTGCAATATGTTTCGCAATATGGTGAAGTAATTTTTTGCGGTACACACCGATGTGGTCATTGACGTTGCTCAACAATCAAGAAGAGATCGCGTTTCATCGAGCTCACCATTTCCTCGTATTCGTTCTTTGTTCCACTTCCGTATCCACGAGGAAGTAAATAAACGAGACCGCAACAGGGAAGGAGCTTAGAAGAATTTCTCTAATCGAGCTTATGCTTGCATCTAACAATGATTTATTAAATCTGTATCGATTTCTCAAGGATCATTTATTTTAAGGATAATTTATTAACCTGTATAATAGAGAACAATTTTTTTTTTTTATCCTCGTTTCATTCTTCATTGTTTCCTTTCAGAATCATTCGGTAGCAATACCGTTGTCACGAAGCCCAAGAGAAGAGCACCTTTGCTCAAGAGGAAAGCTCTTACCACAGGCTTTTTCGACAATAAGGGAAAAGACGATAAGGAAAAGGGTAAGTGGTAAACACCGAAGCCTCTTAACTTCTTCTCTAACGAACGTCGATTTTAATCTATAAATCGTTTGACTTTAATTGCATACACTGCAAACTACATTAAAGGGAAATGGTTAAATTAATCACTAAAGAGGATTCTTTATTTGAATAATCTGAATGTTATAATGTATTTTTATTTTCGATATCGATTTATGTATTTTTGAAAATTTCTAAAAATTCTTCTTAATCCCTTGATTGAGAAAGAAAGTGACAACAAACAAAACTTTTATATTTATCTAGATATTAAAAATATTATTCTTCGAAACGTTTTCTAATATTTCAACAATTTATATATAAAATTTAAAATAGCGAAACTTTTGTCTCGCAGACAAAAGACAATTATCTATAATGTTTTACAAAGAAGAAAGACGATACATAGTATCACTTTAAAGATATTTGCGTTTCGAAATCATAACGTATCATTGTAACGAGAAACAGATTTTCTTTAATCAAATTTAAATAATATTTTTCTTCCACCATGATCAATCCTTGCCATCCGTTCGGATATATTCCATTGTTCGAAATGATATTCAAATTGAAATTCATTTAACTTTAAATTTAATTATTTTCCCTGATCCCGTAACAGATCAAATATATATCCGAGAGATCCATCTTTTAAAGAGATTAATTTTTTAACTGCTCCCCTTATATTTATTTCCAAGCTTCGAAATACGATTTCTCTCTCTCTCTCTCTCTCTCATAGGAATTAGCTTGTAGATAAAATCAATAATTAAACTCGGTAAATTAAGTGCGCAGTTTAATGTGCGGAAAGCGGCACGGTTAACGATCAGAGATTTATGGGGCGTTTATTTGTTTGAAGAATAACTAGTTCAGCTATTTTCAGGTGTGATTCTGTTTTGCGAGGAGTTCGCTAGGTAGTGCTTCTATCATTTCATGTGCGTTTACGACACACACACACACACACACATATGTATAATACATATATGTATATATGTATTTTGATCTAGCTAGTCCATGGCAAAGACAAATATTATCCTTGGGACAAATACCAGGCTGTTCACCTGCAATCCTCGCTTTAAATTCCCCTCCGCTAATAATTATGCAAATAGTATATAAATTCTTTGGAAATATCTGATCATGTGAATTATAAAATAAATACAGTTTCTTTGCTTTTCATTAAAGGGAAAAAGAAAAAGGAAAAGTAAATTTTTTTTACAATGGAAGAGGTGGGGTAAAAGTTAATTCGTTTATCTGCTTCGTATTGCGATTATCCTTGGATGCAATACAAGTTGTATAAGTGTAAATGAGAAAGAGATTCATGAAAGTTTTCTTGTTAAAGTATGTTTGAATTGAAGTATGTATTTATGAATTATACAAAACATGTATAATTTTTCTTGTTTAAAAAAATGGAACGTCAAGCTTCGATTTTGTAATTTGTATAGGTATAAATGATTTGTAAAATTATTCTTACACTTCTTACGAATAATAATTAGTCCATAATAAATTGCAAGTATTATTTTGAGTAATAATATTGGGATAGATGAGAAGCATTGTTACATGAGATTGCACCATTAATACGAATTAATTTTGCAAATCTCCTCTAAATAATTGATAATTGGGATAGAATTTCCATTATCATATTTTTATACAAATGCCAAATATTTCGCAAGTAGGATGCATTAATTTAAATTTTTAATTTATAAGACTTACTTTTTTCATTATTCCTTTTTTTACTTTTGCAAATGTTTTAGCCTTGTCCGTTATTTTTTTTTTTTTCACAGAATCGGAAGAATGTAACAATATTTTATTCCAAATAACACATTTCACGGATATAATCCGTGCTCTTGCCTTTTATCCTCCTCCACATTAGCAAATTTATCGTGTGGGTGTTTCATTCTCGTTTGCATAGATCTGTTTATCAAGCATTTCACATTGTGGTGACAGTTTCGGCAACAAATTGCACCTGGTGTTTGCGTGAACACCAAAAAAAGGGACGATATTTACACGAGATAATACACTGGTTCCATATTTATTTTAATCCTTTTT